AGAGAATGGAAGGTGTCCCAAAGTTTCTTTTGTGATAAGCCTAGCACAAAGGATCAGTTGTTCTTGATGCCAACCTCACACATGGGATCATCAGCCCAGTGAGAAAAGAACTTTCATTAAAATAGTAGAAATATTTGATAGAATACAAACATTTTGATCTATTCTGGGTTTAGGCAATGCCTCTTCCCCTGGGCTGGGACTACTGTGCAACAGGGGCAAGGTCTAAGGCACAAAACTTAAGAGGGTGAAACCCCGAGGATGGGTGGCTCCTTAAAATTTGCACCTTCACCCTGTCTCTTGCCCCATCTTCGTCCCCATTTATCCTCAAATGCAGTTTATTCTCAGGGTTTGAATTTATAGAGCCAGATCATGGTTATGAGGGCAGAGTTGGGGGAAAGCTTGCAGAGCCCTTTCTCTGCCCAAAGAAAGGGAGTAATCCCATGTGCCACACCATCGTCAGGCTCACGTCTCCCAACTTCCGTGCACTGGTACTGAGTACAAAGGGCTCTTCCAAATTACTCCCAGGGCATCTGGTGCTAAGTTACCTTCCCAAGAAACCTGAAGGTCCTTGCACAACGGTAATTTGTAGTCCATTGATTGATGTTTTACACTGGAGAAATAAATCCCAATCTTTGTCCATAGAACAAATGTTACAATAATTTTGCACAATAACTTATAGTTCTTGGCTGATCAGATGTTGCTGGACTAAATGAATCAAGGTGAGCTCCTTTAGGGCAGATGGTGTCTTCTCGTCACTCTGTGTCCAGGCACCTAAGATCACAGATAGTAGTTGTTCAATAAACGCTTGGTCAACACCCATAGGAATGAAAAAACAACAGGCTTATCAGAAATTAAACTCAGCCTCCCAGGGCCTAGGCCCTTTAAGTACCAGAAAGGGCAGAGCCAGAAATCTGGCCCAAGGATTTAAACACCAACCACTGCCACTTCCTCCCTGTGAAAACCAATTGTTCCTCTGGCTTTTGCTGACGTACAACTTGTCATGTTCTGTCTTGTGAGAGGCTGGGTTTCTAGCTCTCACCTCAGCTCTTGCTGCCTGACTTGGTATTTCACCCCTTCTAGCTCTCTCCTTTCCCTCCAAGACTGGCATCCGCTGGCAGGGCCTTCCCAGAAACAGCCCAGCAACTCTGATCCTAGGTTTGCCATGATTCTTCTTGTCCTGGCTCCTGACTGGCAACTGTAAACATCGAATCTGCCTTGGAAAAGTCAAATGTATCGCTGCCCTAGTGGAGAGCCCTGTGGACAAATTCAAAGGATCTGGTGCCATCTTCAGCTACCATCTTGAGAACTCCGCCACCAGCTGCATGGAGGCCCCACCCAGGAAGCCCTGCCAAGCGCCCTGCTGCCATCTCCTGGAGGCTGTTGATCTTTGCAGTCCTAAACCTTAAGGCCTGCTCTCCTCAACTAGCTTTAACAAGCCCCTGATATCCGCAGTACACCATCAGACACAGTTAGTGTGAATGGAAAGATTATTGCTTTGATACAGTGAAATGGACCTCAGAAAAATGCACAGATAAGTAATTAAAACAATGAAACTAATGACCAGAAAATGAAATAACTGCCTATCTCCTATTGGCATGCAAAGAAGCAGAAGCCCAGTGGATGAAACTGGACCAAGATCACTCATGAGTATATGCATTCATTCAGCATGTGAAGATGTTTCAAAGGCTGCAGTTGATGCCGCCAGGCACAGTGGAATACCGTAGCCTTCTCTTGATGCTCTTTACTACAGCTCTCTTGGAGTACATACCAAATACCATGTTTTCTTCTTCATTGTCAGTAAGTAAATGGCCACTTCTAAGAAAACTGAAGAAATTAAATAAGGGACCATTTTATGCAGCTTAGCACCAAAGTTATTAGTTTGTAAGTATTAGACAAATGGAGTAGTTGAGATAAAACCAAAGATGTTCATAAGTTACATTTTTTAAAAGTTCTAATGACTTTCCTATATTTAAACTCCCACAAAAGTCAGCGTGGACTAGAGCAGCAGGATCAACCAGAGAGGAAAAGCAATCACAGCTGACCTGACGTCAATGGTAGGTGGAGATGCACAAATCATTTGATTTAACCATTTCACTACTAACAATCCATCCTGAAAAAATAACTAGAAAGCCAAAAATCCCTGAATAAAAAAGTTCATTTCAGCTTAGTATATGACAATGATCAATTAAGAACAATCTAAATGCTCAGCAGTAACAGAATGGTCAAATAAATCATGACACCCACAATAGAATCATAGGGAGTCATGATAAGCATGGTTTTTAAATCTATTTAATTGACACAGAGAAATATTCAACTTACAATGTCAGATGAAAAAAGAATACAAAGTTGTATATGCAGTATGATCTAAATTATATTAAAGTAGAAAAAAAGGAAAGGGGTATAGAAAAAAAGAGGAAAAGGTACTAAAACATTAACACTGTTTATCTGTGGATGATGGGATTGTGGATGAGATTTTTTTCCTGCTTATATGTACTAGGATGGTAAGTGATATAGTAATTGCTCTTTACTGTAGGCTTTTTTTTCTAGCATCAGCAAAATAGGACAATACCTACTGCTTTAGAAAGTGTTACCCATGAAAGATACAAGAACAAAAATACCAAAAGAGATGCAACAGGAATAAGACAGAAAAGTTCAGCAAGGACGATCAAACAGAACTTGTTTATTCCTCCCCCACCCCTGTGTTGGAATGGCAGTAGAATCTCCCCCTCTGGGGGCCTCCCAGAGCACAGGAGCCCCGAGTCTCACTTCTGGGATGGGGGATGGGAAAGGGCACAGACAGCAGAGAAGACAACACATCACAAGGAGAAGGCCCCTGAGCAGCAGGGTGGCACCAGAGCAGCGGAGGGGCCATGACTGTGGTGTCTAGGCAGATGGGCTTCAAGGAAGCTTCATGCAGCCCCCCACACCTTGGGTGGGCACAGCAGCCCAATTTTCCCAAGCTTAAAGAAGGAGATAACACTTTTCTGGGAAAAGCCTGTGGTCTAGAAAGGGTCCCAGAGCTGAGATGAGGGGACTCATGATCAGAGGATCCCAGAGGACTGCCTTGCTGTGGATCAGATGGGGATCAGAGGGCCCAGCAGGTAGAGGTGGCAGGTGATGTGCCTGAGGACCAGGTAAGACAGCAACTAGGCAGAAGATGGCGGCTCAGGCCCCAGCCCACCAGGCAAGGTGAACACCATGCCTTTCTCTGCCCCTGACCAAAGCAGGATTTGCATGAGCTGCCGCTCCCCACTGAGGCTTTCTTCTAATCCCACAGAGAGAGGAAGCATGGGGACAAACCTAAAAGGAGAGTGGGTTTTAGTCAGGGCACCTGGCAAATCAGGTTACCCAGAAGTGATGGATTACATTTTCGTAAAAGAGGGCTCAGAGTCAGAAATTCAATTGTGTTGTGGAAAATATTTATATTTTATACTCCTGAGCTTATGACATATGAAATATATACTCACTAAATTAATTTTTTTGTGACTTTCATATATTTAGTAGTGATCGTATTTTATGTTTTAGAAAAGTATTTAAAGAAAAGCATAGCAACCACAAAAAGTTGCTTATGAGTCAAGGTACTGAAGAAAAGGAGGCATAAGGCTGATGGAAAGTCACCCCTGGTTCTGAGGATCATCTTGCTAGGTGGCCAGAGCTGGTTTTGTGTCTTGAAGAGCCAGAACTCCCCACTTTCTGAGAGAGCCTGAAGTCTTGAGCACCCTTTCTGAGCCTCTGTCATTAATATTTTGTGTGAGCATATGAGCGACTGAGAATAAATGTGAAAATAGTCCTTATAGTTACATTTGATATCCCATCACACTCCCCCTTACTTACCTCCCTCCCCTCAGCAAATCAGTATTACTCAGCTTCCCTGTAGAAGGCCCCTTCTTTCTTTTTACGCCAAGTTTTATTCTCTGAGGCAGTATCAAACAATAGAACAAATCCCCAACACTACTCTTTGAAGAACATATCAGTGCCCACGTTAGGATGTCTTTGCTCCAGGCTAAACCAAGTCAGGCCCTAGTATGCTATTTTCCAAGCCTCTCACTATCTGGCCCACCCTGCTTGGAGGTAGCAACTAGAATTGTCAAAGGTTGCTTAGAAGGTGATGCCTGGAACCAGTATTGCAGCCCTGTGCTCTGGCCATGAAGACTAATTCTACAGAGGCTACAAAGGGCATCGAGGAGGCATTTGTGTTCTTAGCTGCCCCCCACAGCTTCTCAACCTGCACTGTAGGACTCAAACCCAGGCACAGGGTCAATGGCAACAATCACACTCAGCCTCCCAGGAGACCGGAGTCAGTGCCCATCTGTGTGGTAGGGCTGGAGCAGAGGATGAGGGAGTCGAACCCCACACGGCTGGGCTGGCCACAGCCCTGCCCCGCCCTGCTGCAGGAAACCACTCCACTCATCCCCACTCCCCACTTCAGGCAGAAGTATGTCCCTCCCTCCCTCCTTTCTTTTCTCCAAGGATCTTACCCAAGATCTTGGCATCCCATGCCTCTCCCTCCTCACTCTAGATCATTTTCCTTTGCTCTGTCTCCAGGCCTTGTTCTCCCCTCAGGAGGAGATAATTCTCCTCGACATTAGAGGATTTTATCAAATTGCCGCATAGCCCCACTTTCCTCTCTCAGAGCCCCCAAGGCTGGTTGTGCTGGCCCCCCTCTCTTCGTGCTGCCTCATCCCCTCATTTGTCTTCTCTCTTTGCTGCTGTTACCACATCCCAGGCCAACATGGGAGCATCTCCCCACCCCCACTCCACTGCCCCCAACAGCATTGACTTTGGCAGATTTCTGGGGAACCAGCGATGTCCTAACCTGTTTGTTTTTCCAGGCTGATGTTTGCAGGGGTTTTCTTGGAACCAGAACAAAATCATCCCACGTTCTTATGCAATTTCTCCGGCAGGCTCTGACCAATAAATAAAGCCCTCAGCCCCTCTGTCGTTCTATCTTTCTAAGCAGAGCACCTGGGGTAGTGCTGAAGCTCCCAACCACCTGCCCACCTGCCAGGGCCTATCTGGGGCAGCCATGAAGTCCCTTGTCCTACTCCTGTGCCTTGCTCAGCTGTGGGGCTGCCATTCTGCCCCGCATAACCCAGGTCTGGGTTACAGGCAACCGAACTGTGATGACCCAGAAGTAGAGGAAGCAGCCCTGGCGGCCGTGGAGTACATCAATAAACACCGTCTTCAGGGCTACAAGCATACTTTGAACCAGATTGACAAAGTGAAGGTGTGGACTCGGGTAAGTGAAATTGCTGTATGTGAGCTGAAGGGACCTGTGTGTGGTGCTCAACTGGCTGTCTCAAAAGATGACATGTCCCAGCACCAGGGAAACTGCAAAGGAGTAACCTCATTGATTTCTTCCCAGGAGCAAGAGTGGGGCAGGCAGAGGGCACCAGAGGAGACATTCAGTATTGTAGCCATGGGTCTCAAGGAGGGTGCTGGAAGGGGGTTAGGGAGGTGTGTGGGGGGGAAGGAAAGCCTTCGAATAATATTTTGAAAATCACAGGTAGAAAGCATGGCTTCTGGAAAAACTAAGGCCCACTACTGAATTCTAGTTGCCAAATTATCACTGGCTGGAAATCACTTGTCCTTCTTTGTTTCCATTCTCTGGATGAAGACAGAGAGTGAATGAAACTAGAATCTGACAATGACCTACACTGTGCCAGGCCCTTTCACGTATATCATTTCCTTACCCTTCCTACCCTGAGTCTTGTGAGGTAGGTACTATCCTTGTCTTGCAGAAGAGGAAACCAAGCCTCTGACATATTAGGGCTTTTTTTTTTTTTTTTGCCCCCAGTCATATAACTAGTAAGCATCAGCTTGGATGTGATTTTGGATCTATGTTCCTTCCTCTACACAAGCTACCTTCAAAGAGAGGTACCCACATCCCAGAGAGAAGTCTTGGCATGAATGAGACTCATCTCCTCACATGCTAGAGAAGAAAGATAAACCAATGTAGTAGGAAGCTAGTGGCAATAAAGATCAACTTGGAAAATATGCCTTGGAGATCAGTTGAGAGATTTGGAGAGGTGGGAAAAACACATCTGTCTCCTACCTGTTTTGAAAAGAGATTTTATATCTGATGAAGGATAATTTTTTCAGCAAATATTGATTATAAACCTCCTGTGGGCAAGAACCAGTGTCAGGTGCTATGAGAGATTGAAACATTGCTATTTTTGTATATGAAAAGCAGTTAAATATTGGCATTTTAATAGTTCCACCTAAGATAAAAGTAAGAAACATAAATTGCCCGCAAGAGATTTACCCACAAATTGCCCACAAGATCCAGGAAGGAAAATAAGGTAAACATCAGGATGTCTGGACTGACTGACATCTGATCTCACAATGGGATAAAATATTTCCAATCAGGATCGTCCCAAATGGCTATTAGGACTGTTGGAGCCATACTGAAGTACAGTGGCGGTTCAAAGGAAACACCCGTCAATTCAAGGGAAATAACACAGAACTGGCATATTTGAGGGTAAGGCAATGAACAGATGTCACTAGCAGCAGAGCTCGAGAGTTACTTTCCTTGAGAAGCCCCGGAGTATCCTGCTCCTATACACTGCAGCTCTGAGTATTTTCAGGAAGTTTACTTGGGCGCATCCGCACATCGTACAACACAGCTTCCTCCTCGTGACGAGATTCTGAGGCCCAAGTACACTGGTTCATCAGACAGAACCGAAATGAGAGGCAAGCAGAGCTGGGCTTAAAGAATAGGAATACTTGTACCTTCTGGAATTTTACGGCTTTCAAGTCAGGCTGTAGAGGCAGGTGAGCTGGAGACAACAACTCCAGGGAGTTACACGAGGTCCCCTAGTACTCTGTGACACCTTGGATTCCCCAGCGTCAGAGGGAGGCTTGCTCTTCCCCCTTGTGGCCAGCAGGGAGCAGTAGAGAACAGTAACTGCATCCTGGCATCTACAAACCGAAAGACAAAAAGCCAAGGACAAATTTTCCTTTGGGAATGAAAATAAAATGGGGAAGGAAGAAAAGCAGATGATTCAAGGGAAGGAAGAAAGAAGTAGAGAGAGGAATGGAGAAAATAAGACACAGTAAGATACTATTTTACACCACTTTTGCTGCCTGGCTGAGAAAAATCCAAAGCCAATATTTTCCAAGCCCTGTTTTCAGGGTGAGATTTTAAAAATTAAATGAGTAGCAACATTCATTTTTAACTTCCAAATAGAGCTCAGAGTGATGACTGTGATTCCATCAATCTGTCCAAGCCCATGGCCTTTTCATCCTTGCACACACCATTTAGAGTTTGCCCAGCCAACTGAGGAAGACCTGAGGAGGTCTTTGTTTCCTGCCCACAAGCCAAGTCAGAACCAGGTGGAGTTGAACACTAGCAGTAGAAGTGACTTTTCCCTTACCTTTCCAGTAAGGGATGCAGTCGAGCCCAGTGGAGGCTCACTCACACGGCCCACTTAACAGGATTGGTGAATAGGCTGCTCACCTCTTTGTTTTGTGTCCCTACAGCGACCCACAGGAGAGGTATATGAACTTGAAATAGACCTGCTGGAAACCACCTGCCATGTGCTGGACCCCACCCCCGTGGCAAATTGCACTGTGAGGCAGCTGCAGGAGCATGTGAGTGCCCCCTGAGGGGTGACTACAGGTGGTACCCCTGGCCAGTTCCATGGTGGTTCTGCAAAGAGGCGTCCAGTTTTATCCCATTTCCCAGGCTGCCTTCACAGCCAGCCAGTGTGCAGTTTCTAAAATTTCCATTTGATGCCACCTTTCCCTGGGCTGATTTTTACAATAGTTCAGGTTGCTGGTTGTAGCCCTCCCTAAAACCAGAGAGTGTAATATCTCAGTATCACCTAGTCAGCATGACTTTGTGAGACTTGTCTTGGACAATTGCGCCAAGGGAAACAGAGCCCGCCCAGGGAGAGGAATGAAAGCCAGCCCTCCTCCTGGGCTGTCACTGTGGGTTTCTTTCTCCAGGCTGTGGAAGGAGACTGTGATTTCCGGATACTGAAACTAGACAACCAGTTTTCCATATTGTCTGCAAAATGTGATTCCAGTCCAGGTAGAGATAATTCTTTATATTATTTTTACCTTATAGAGAGAGTGAGGAAGGAACCTAAATTGTTTTCATCGTAAGTCATTGTAGTCACTTTGTTGGTGAGGAAAAGGAGAAGCCAGCTTTCCTGGGGTCTGGGACTGGAAAACTGTTTTATTAGGAGCTAGTCTATTTGGAGGTAGAAATTGTCCCTTGCTGGGAGAGGCTCCTGTCAGCATGATAGGAGCCCCCCGAAGATTTAGTAAGAAGCAGAGAAAACATCTGAAGCCATCTGGAGGATGTCTTAGCCCTCTCTAAATAAGCAGAGCTAGAGTGAATGACCCAGAGAATTAGAGCCCAGATTCAGTTTTTTCTCTGTGAATAGACTCGGCCGAGGATGTGCACAAGGTCTGCCCCGACTGCCCCCTGCTGGCCCCGCGGAACAACACCAGGGTGGTGCACGCGGTGGAGGTTGCGCTGGCCACCTTCAATGCTCAGAATAACGGCTCCTATTTTCAGCTTGTGGAAGTTTCCCGGGCTAAAATTTCGGTAAGACTAAGACCTCTTGACAGACTGGGCAGTTTGGTGGCACTTCAGGAATGGACGTGGTGAAGCTGCAGTGAGGTTCAGAGCAGGAGCAGGGGCAGCAAGCAAGGAGGGTGGTGGGAGAAAAAGGAAGGAAAGAGCCCTGAGGGCTATGAGGACCGAAGGAGACCTCAGCACCTTGCCCATGCTGAGCCCGGCTAACAGAAGGTAGCCAGACACTGACAGACCAGCCAGCCCCTGGTTCCTTAGTTGTAGTGAACACCAGGGTTGGCTGTTCAGCAGGTGGGCATTCCCACATCATCCAGAAGCACTCACTGTAAATCCACAGGTCTCCACATCTTCTCATGCATCACCCTGACCAGCGGCTGCACTCTCACCAGGCAAACTCATCACCAATACTAACAAAGCTTGAGCCTACTTACTCCGGATACTCCAGATAATGGCCGGATCCTAAATTGCCTTTTGAATCACTGAAGAAAATTTAATTGTACTGTGGATTGTTTAGCAAATTTGAATGCAACAGAATTCTAATATTTAAGCAAACTGGTATTCTGGGTAGCAGCCATGGCATACTAGAGCAGGTGGTATTTGTACAGGTGGAAATTCTATTAATTGAATATGTGATTCTCAGAGCACTGCCACCCCAGACTATTTCAATGATTGCTGTAAGCGTCCATATGTGCCAAGAGCTATAAGAAACTAAAGCACAAGTATCTTCTCTATTTTCATTTATATTTGACCCTGCTCTGTACAATAGGTGAGGAAGGTATTAATTTCTTAACTTTTCTTTCCCACCTTGGTGTAATCTGAACCTTGGGTCTCAAAGTGCAGCCCAAAAGGAAAGGCTGTGGGGAAGAAGGGTTCCCATTCAGGTCGGTTAAGGTCTTTGCTCTGGTTCCTGCTTCTTATCTAAAAACTACTTTTGCCCTGGAAGATGGGCAGTGGAAGTCTGCCCCCCTTCAGGGAATACCCAACCCTGACCTCTGTATACAAACACTTCAAAACACAATGCCACAGCACTGGCCCTTGTAAGCCATTGGGACCACGTTTCCTGGCCACACAGTGTGGTCCCCAGGCACGGTGCTTCCTGCAGTGTGCAGCGCGTGGCCCCAGCTGTGTCCTACCACACCCCCCTCCCCTGCTTTTGCCACACTAACTCGTGTTGCCTCATGAACATTTCCACTTATTCTCATCAGCTCCTTCCGCCTTCCATCCTCGTGGAGTTTGTGGTGGCTGCCACTGACTGTGCTGCTGCAGAAGTTGTAGACTCGGCCAAGTGCAACCTGCTGGCAGACAAGGTGAGCTGGCCAGACCTCAGGTAGCAAAGTGATTATGGAACAGGGCATCCCTAGAGCAAGTTGGTATCCTGGGGCTGCAGGAAAGAGCTACCTGTGCAAACAGCCTGCAGGGCTGCTGATGTCAGGCCTTCCTCTGGGTGCCACCTCCCCTCCTTAAGAGCTGTTATCAAATCATCATACCCTCTGGAAGCTCCTGGAGTTAGTGGAGAGACAGAGGCTTTTCTAAGTAAGCTAAGTCAGGCCCAGCTGCTGGGAGTATGAAGTGTAGACTCTCTGGATGCACTTCTGCTATGAAATCTTTCAAGTCCTTGAGCCAGTAATGTCTACTAGGAATTTAGCCTGAAGAAATCATCAGAGATGACTGGCAGAAATATATCTATAAAGATGATTTATCATAGATGTAAAATGACCCACAAAAGATCTGAATGTCCAACAGGAGGAGGTCATTGAATAAAATATGGCATATCAGTAAATAGAAAATTATTCAAACATTAAAAATTAGTTTACAAAGACTAATGAATGATATAAGAAAATACTCTCATAGTAAGCGAAAAACACAGGATGCAAAATGGTATAGTCACAATAATCCCAATTTTTAAGGGACATTTAATAGTATCTTAAAATAAGAAAGAAATATATGGACATTAACAGAAGTTCACCTGGGTCACCGTGATTCCTGGTATTATGGGTGACCTCTCTTATCTCAAAACATTTCTGTATTTTCTACATTCTACCTAGAACTATATGTTGCATATCTTCTATAACCGGAAACTAGAAACTTTAGGAAAAGGGTTTTTCTTAAAAAAGAAATTAAGAATTTAAGCTTTCTTTCCTTTGACATGTTAGAGTATCAGTGGAGGAGAAATCCACTCTTTTAACTTGCTAAAATAACTCCCTCTTTTTTGGGCAGGTATATGGCTTCTGTAAGGCGACTGTCACTGAGAAGGTTGGTGGGGAAGATGTTGTAGTGACCTGCACGGTGTTCCCAAAAGAGGTAATGGCTTTTTGGATATACTTGCCTGCATCTTCTGAACACAGTAACTCCTTAACATGTAGGCAGTGCTTCTGTAATTACTGCCCTGTCCTGGTGAGCCCCACAATATATGTAGTGCTGGGGCATGTGGGGCATCACTAAAAAATGGAAGGATTCTTCAGCCATGCCTTCCCCTCCCACGAACTGGTGGCTATAGGAAGAGCCATCCTGGTTGTGTAGCTGACAAGGCCACCTTTTTATTTATGGTGGTGGGAGTGATTTTCTGAGTTGCAGAGACCAGGTGGCCAGACCTGCCTGCAGCTCCTGGTGGCTGCAGGTGTGGATGACCAAGAGAGTGACACTGCTGGGGAAGCTTAGCCAAGACGCAGGGTGCTTTTGCTCATGTGACATGTGTAAGTGCACCATCCGCGAGACAATTTGTGAGGAAAGAGGCACGACAGGCCCATTACCCCTCACCCCTATAGCTTTGATGACAGTGCTTTGTACCTAGGTAGTTCTTTTTTGGCCAGATTCATTGCAAATAAAAAATATTATGAGAGAATGGGGTGGGGTTCCACCCAGAAGCATGGGTGGCCCTGTCTGGGAGGAGAAAGGTAGCTGACTTAAGAACACGGTCCTCTCTCCAGCTTGTGGTGCTGCAGCCCCAACCAGATGGCGCAGATGCAGAGGCCACTACCTCTGTGGTGGGCGCAGCTGTGCCTGCATCTCTTGCAGCTGTCCAGTTGGTGGGATTCCTACTGGCGAGAGATGTCCCAGTAGCCCCACCAGTGCACCAGGCACACTATGACCTGCACAACAGCTTCGCGGGTGTGGCCTCTGTGGAGTCAGCCTCAGGAGAAGCATTCCACGTGGAGAAAATATCCAAGGAGGCACAGCCTGGCATTATTTTAGGTCCTGGTCCAGTGGTCCGTCCTTGCCCAGGAAGAATTAGACACTTCAAGGTGTAGATGAAGGTCAAAACCGAAAAGGTTTGGCACAGAGAACATGGCTACCATTTTGTCCAAGTCCAGGTATGGGTGGGGGGCTTATCTGCTGTCAAAGTCAGTGTACATGTGGTCTAGTTTAATATCAAGTCTTGGATCCCAACTTCTCTTCATTCACCAGAGGACAGAAGCAGAGGGGGTGATAGTTATGTTTGATGGAAGGCAGAAGGCAGGCAACTGGATTGTCAGTGTTCCCATGATAAGCCACCACCATTATTCTCTTTGCCTTCTTTTTACCTCACAAAAACAAATGGAACTGTGACTCTGAGAGGTGCTCTTGCCAAGCTTATATTCACTAGTTAATATAAGTACCTGAAGGACTTTCCTTAATTAAAAAGGTTCTAAACTGAAATGTGGTCATGATTATTATCTGCTTCATCCAACCTGACATGTGTGGTCTTTCTTCCCAGCAATCACACCACAAGAGTCCATAAGCAAAATCAAAGTGAAAACAGAAACAAAACAAAAACCTGCTATATTATTATACATAGGTAAAAGGGAGACCAGAATTTTCTCACAGTCCATAGGATATGCCCATTTCCTTGTGAAAAACATAATTCTTTTCATTTATAAGGGTCAAAAATTGTTGCTAAAGGAGGACCAGGTGACTGAACTTTGTACAGAGAAGCCAATCATTGGTTTTTGTCAAAATCCAGGTAAGGCAGGACAGGTACTTAATGCAGGAACCTTCCTTTAATTATGTCTGTTAATTATTTATGTTTAAAATAACTGTTGTTTGTACTGTATACACTTCATTTTATGGTACAGGATTGGTCTCCCTAGCCAATCTATTTTAAGACATCAATTTAAAACTGTTGGCTTATGGTATGAATGGTGGAGAGATACATAGACTGGTATATCCAGTGAACATTCGTAGACCCTATCTGAGTGCTCAGATAGAATAAAGGAATAAACAGTTCCCATTATAGAATGGTGTCTAGACAATTTCAATTTTTGTCTACCCGCAGTAGGTTGTTGAGCAACCCACGTGATGAGCTCTTACAGATGGAATTTTAAAGGGATGAGACTAACAACCAGTTGAGTGGCTTCACTTGAACCAAAGAGATGGAATCAAGCACTGACACTCACCTTATGCCTCTTGCCTAGAGGTTTTGCCAATATTCCAGTAACCAGAAGGGAGCTCCAAGAAGGTAGAAAAAACACTAGGTGTCTCAGAAGCCAGGGAAGACAAGGAAGGTATGGTCAGCCGGCCTAAATGCTACAGAAAGAGCAGTGAGAAGGAGAATCAAGAAAATGCTGTGGGTTAGTTGACTTGAGGGTCATGGTGACCACTGGCAGATACAGTTTCACCAGAAGTGGGAGTGTGAAATCTCGTTGCGGAGGGTTGACTGGTGGTGCATGATGAGGAATGGAGGGTTGGAGGGTGCAATAGTCTCCTCTTCCAAGCAGATTGATGGTAAAGGGTTGGAGAGACAGTATGTAATCTAAAAGGATAACTGGGTGGAGGAAAGGTTTCTTTTTTCAGGAAAAAAGAATTTTGAGTATATTTAGGGCAAAAGATAGGAAGAGATGGAAGAAGAGAGAAAGGAGATGATCTAGCAGGACGTCAGGGAAGATACCTAGTGGAGAGAGGGAAGAGAGGGAGTTTGGGCAACTCTGCCAGGGATTCTAGCCCTTCCTTGAGGGAGCTTTTAAGAGGGTACTGAAAAGGTATCTTTCAACCAGTATTAAAATAGATCCATCTGCTTTCTTCCCTAGCTACACACAGGTCTAGAAGCAGGAAATAGGTTGAGGTGGACCAGGATGAGAGAGAAAGCTGGACTGAAGCAAATTAGAGGAGAGAGAGGAGGGCTATAGACAATGAGGCAGATGTGGCCTGGGGCCAGGTCGTGATCAGCCTTAAGGTCCCAGAAAGGAGTTGGGATGTTATTCTCAGTGCAATGGGAAACCACGAAAGGTTTTAAGCAGGGCAAGTGACATCATCTGACTTACATTTAAAGGTCACTCAAGCTCCTTGGTTCTCAGCCTGGGGATGGGGTGAGGTGGGGTGGACCAGTATCACCGTCTCCCGAGGGGACGTTTGGGAGAAAGTGGAAGCACTTACTTGGGCTGCTCCTGGACAGAGGCTAGGGATGCCAAACATTCTGAAATGGACAGGGCAGCTGGAACCACACAGTCCCAACAATGAACAATGATAAACTAATGCCCCAAACGCCAACAGCATTCATGTTGTTAGCTGCAATAGGGGTTGTAGCCACAGGATAGGAAGTGACTGGCACTTTCTAGGGGAGAAATAAGTGTATCTTAGTCTGAGGTGCTAGGTATCTTAGTCTAAGCCTAAAACAACGATATGATCTGCAGGTAGAACTCACAACCTGATGATAGATTTGATGTGGGGGTAAGAGAGAGAGAGGTAAAGGACAACTCCTGGATTCGTGGGTTTGCAGATGGTGGTGCCATTCACTGAGGCAGAGAGCCCTGGTGCATTTCAACTGAGTTACCTCAAATTCTGCCCTCTCTATTTTGAAACTGTGCAGTTGATTTTTCTGTCAGGCTAACCCATGCCTTGATCTCATGTATCTCAAGGAAGCAGTGAATCCAATACACCTGGGTAACCTGGGCCAAGCCACCTCACCTTTCACTCCCCATTGCCTTTGCTATAGAAACAGGTGCAGCCTGGCAGAACTGTAGGGAGGATTAAATGAAATGCTATGCTTGAAACTTTCCTGACACATTCTGGTTCTTAGTAAGTGTCCTCTGTCTCTGTTTCTTCTTCCTGTCCTCTGTATTTGGTAGCTTCTGACTACATTCTTGACCCTTTTAAATATTTACTCTCTGCTTGGCAGGTCCATCCTCTCTCATGATTTAAACTCTTAGTCTCACACAAGGTAAATTCTGTTTTTTTTTTTTCAGTCTTTAAGATTCACATCAACTTAACATTATTATCACTTAGCATTATTAGCTGTTCGTCATTTTCATAAAATATTGCTGGTGTTAGCATATACTATTCAGCCCACACCTAACCCTTGCCCTACCCCTGACCAAAACCCTAAAGCCTCCAGACGCCACTAAGAATGCATGAAAGACAATACTAGGAATATATATATTACATATAACATATAATTATATAGAATATATTAATATATTTAAATATATATTTAATTATATATATTATATATAAAGAGAGATTTCCCACATATATAGTGATAAGAATGCTAGTAAGTATACAACATAAAATATCCTTTCAGTAGGTGGTGACTCTAACGGTCCTTTTATTATAGCCTTTCAGAATTAAGAATGTTCATAATGTTTATCACAGCATTATTTAAAAGAGCAAAAATTTTAAACAGTGTAAATTTCTATCACTGGTTAATTAAATTTTGTTCCATCCATTCCATGGACTACTGTGGGAAAATTTAAATCATGTTACCAAAAAATAACAAATATTCACAATATAGTTTGAAATTAAAAAGTACTTTTTAAAATAATATGATGCTAATTTTGTAAGAATAATTTCCTTCAAAAGGCATATTCATATGCACATACACACAGACATGAAAACTACAAAGTAACAGGAAGGAAAACAGTAAAGTGATAATAATGCTTGGATCTGAGTTAGGAATAAATGGGGAGTTGTTTTCTTTGTTGTACTAATACTTTCCTGTGTTTCCCACATTTTCCATAATGCTAATGTATTACTTTTGTAGAAAAATACTTTTATTTAATTTCTTTCCTTAGAACAAGGGTCAGTGAACTTCTGTAAGAGGCCAGATAGTAAATATTTTAGGTTTCATGGGCTGTATGGTGTGTCTTTACTGAACTCTGCTATTGTACGAAGAAGCAGCTGCAGACAATACTTAAATTCATGGGTATGGCTGTGTCCCAATCAAACTTTATTTGCAAAATCAACAATGAGCTGTATCTGACCTTCAGTTGTGGTTTGCCAAAGAACAGTGGAAATAGGAGAAATAGAGTTGGGAGAAAAACGGTAGTCAAGAGTGAGGCAGTTAATGTGGAGTTGGGTGCTTGACATCTGGAGTCAGAGAGGTCAAGCAAGAAGGAAGCTAGAGGGTTGCCATAGGGGCAATGAATTGTCTGAATAATTGCAGAGGGAGGGTGAAGACAGTAGTGTAAAGCCAGAAGCTAAAGACTTTACAGCTGAGGGAGAATGACCAAAAGGTTTGAAGATGATAGTGACAGGAAATGGGAGGCTCATGCAGCCATGTGGCATAACACTCAAACAGGATTTTATGCCAGCATTGGACTGGAGCACTGGAGAGTGGGGAGGATGCCATTGTTACTAAGCATCCTTTCCAAAGTTCCTTTGGAGAAGCTGTGTCTTGGAAGAAAGCCAGGCTTCACTTGAGCCTAGGCAATGAGTTGGTTAATAAGGTGGGTAGGCTTATTTACTAAGGAATGGGAATTTCAGAAGGCACAGTGGAAAGATTTGGACCAAAGAGAGATTCCCCAATGGTATATCAGTTTGAGGAAGAGAAAGCTGAGAGCACAAAGACGAGGATACTGCTGAGAGAGGGCATATATAGTGGAGATATATATATGGACATATAGACAACAAAAGAGGTTCTGCCCTGGGCACCTTGAGCTTGTGAGGTTTAATGTCCATACTGAGTAGGTAGCAGCCTGCTTTGGTTGTAGTTTGGTAATTCAAGGTGATTCCATAGCAGGCAATAGGATTAAAACATTCTTAGGTCTTCAGTACAGGAAACAACAGCAATCTCTGGAAGATGGCAGGCCTTTTCTAACTAGGTAGCTGCTATCTGCTCCTCCCCAATCCCATCTCACACAAGCCCATTCATGACTATGTTGTCTTAGGTCCTCATTGAGATAAAATATGGATGTAACTGGATTGGACAATAATGTTTTTATCATCTCTGTTGCAAGCTCCATTGTACTCCTTTCATTCACCTCACCACCTCTTGGTGCGTTGCCTAGAGGAAGAACTCAACAAGTAAGGAAGGAAAGAAAGACCTCCTAATTGATCTTGCCAGCTCCAGCCCCTCCTACTTCTGACTCCCATACTGGCTGCCAGATGCACATGCACAAAGCCCAGACTATGGCACTCTCCTACAAAAGAGGATTTGTTATGGTAGGTAGATGATCAGCCAGGAGCAGAGCAGGGAGGGGTACTTCAGTCAGATGTTTGCTTACATTCTAAACATTCTGTGTAAGCTGTTCTTCCAGGATGTGGAGGGAGAATATAAATAACAGACTGGCCAAAACTGGCTAGTTCCAACATGGAGAAGTTGACCCAAACTTCACCCCAAAATTCACTAACAGTAAAAATCACACCTACCTATGCCATGACAGTTCTGATTGGAACCAAATATAGCCCCAGGTCCCTCCTCCCAATGTGAGGGTGGAGAGCCCAAA